CTAAAATGAGGGTCACCAAAAAGAGAAATGTCACCTGTATTTCCAAGAGAAGCCATATGCTCAAGCAAGACTATGATTCATCCTAGCAGGGCGCACTGATAGAGGAGCTAAGAGGCTCTAGGCATGGTCCTAAAAGTAACCCCGGGAGATCCTTAATTGACCTTGATATAGAGACAGGTTATTTTGACTGACACACATTTCACTTTGACTTGGTCTTTAACACCTCACAGCAAAGTATACCCACAAAGTTATATAAAATAATCGTAATATAGGCTAGATATGAAAGGGGAGGCTCTAATTACTACACAGACCCTGCTGGCAGTCTCCAGCTATACCTCTTATTACTACTATGGTTTAATAAGATTAGGAAGCCATAGAGACAGCTATAGAAGCTCAGCAAGAATGTTTAAATTCCTTAGCCGAAATTGATATTCAAAACTGTATTACTCTTGATCTTCTTATGACTTGTGCACTAGTAAATGAGATCTATTGTCTTTGGAAAAATAACTAACATGAGGTGAAGAAGACCTTAAAACAATAAAAAGCTATTGAGGATAACCTTCATGAGCAGGAAGGTCTAAGATCCAGCTAGTTATGATTTCTATTTCAGTTTCTTAAAAAACACTGTCTAAACTTGATTCCTTTAACTTATGTATCTCAATCTATCTTTCTCTCTGGCCCTTATACTCGAGCCATGCATTAAAATGTTTCTTTCTGCCTAGAGGCTGTGAAACTCCAAATGGTCATACAGATGGAACCCATGATAAATGTGCCAGACTCCTTTTTCTGAAGTTTGCTAGACTGACCCTCTGAAGAGAGTCCATAACTGACCCCAGTAAGACTTCCATCAAAGGCTCCTTAGACGTGATCTCTGGAAAAAAAAAATCTCAAACTGCTGTCTTCCCTACATCAACCTTTCTTAACTCAAAAAAGCCAGATTTGATCTTTGCCCCTTTCCCTTAATGGCAGTTAGGGGTACTTCTTTGGAATGGAGGAATATAAAGAATAGTTTATTTAGTTAGCTTATGAGTAAGGCAGCTAACTAGGGATAAATCTGAGACAAGAACTGCGTGCCCAGATTGATAAGAATTAAAATAAGAATAGAGAGTGAACTAGAACTTTGAAGCAAGAATGAACTTCTTTAGGAATACAGGATGCAACCCACTGTCCACGGAAGGGAGGTGCAGTCCCTCCCTACTAAGCTCCTGAGTTCTAAGGAACTTAAAATGCCAAACTGCCAGTTTTGTTTTCTCTAAAATCCTTGTTTTGCAGGCCACATACCTGTAATCCTAGCACTCAGGAGGCTGAGGTAGGAGGATTGCTGTGAGTTCAAGGTCAGCCTGGGCTACCAAGTGAGGTAAAGGGCAGCCTGAAATGTATAGTGAAACCCTGTCTCACAAAGATAAAGAAATAAGAACAGAAAATAAAGTCTCAGTTTCTTTTAAACTCTGAACTTGAAGAACTGAGCTAGAAGCCTCAATTCCCACTGGTCACAGCATCACCTGTGATAGGTGGCTATCAAACTACTGAGGAATTCCTGCCCTCTGCCTATCTATAATTAGCTCTGGATTGAGAGGCTATGTGGTCACCTGCTCAGAACCCCTCCTGGAAAACCGAGGAGTCATTCTTATTTCCAATAAAAGTCTCTTTACCTCCAAAAAAAATGTTGATGTGATCTATAAACCAGATGCCAAATGACTAGTTTGCAGATAGGAATATATGCCTATTGCTTTTCTCCTCTTACTCCCTCACCTCTGTCCTCGAGTGTCTTCAGTCCTTCTTGACATTTACTGCTTTCTCCACAATCTGTAGGTCTAGTCCCAATCTCCTGCTTCAACTTAGGACCTACATATTTTCCCATCTCTGGAAACCTTTGCACAGCCACCCCACTGATCTTGGAAATTCAGTATGTTCAAACTAAGCTTGTCATGCAGAGACATGTCATCAAGAGAAAGCACAGACTGCCTATGTTCAGACTCCAGTTCTGTCACCTTCTTGCTGTGAATCTCAAACGAGTTGTTTAACTGATCTTTGCTTCAGTATCTTTGCCTCACCTGGAAAATGAAGATGATAATCTCATAGGACTGTTTTGTGAACTAAGAGTTTTCAGGTGCACAGTAAGATCTATAAAACATTAGTTGCTACTATTAAATATTATTTTCCTCAGTTCCTTGTCAACTGAATTCAACAGATTTTAGAGACAGGTAACATCACCTGCTTAGTTGTCAAACCAGAAGGCCAAATATCACCGTGGACTTCCTGTTCACATGCTTCCCTACCCTTCCCAAAGTCTGATCCACACAATTTTGCAATTCACTTGCTTTCCAAACTACCGTTTGTTAGACCTCTGTCTCCCTGGGCGTGACTCACAGCCTGTGCTGACACCAAAGTAATCTTTCTAAAATCCATCATGACCCCAACTCCCTGTTTTCAGCTGCACTTCACTCCTTGTGCCCCAAACTCCCTCAACTCCCCAGGGAGGGTCTTCCTTCCTTAGCGGGTGGTGGCACCCACTGGCTCTACTCAAGTCAGACGCCTCTGTCCAGAAACGCTCCGTCCTCCCGGTCTCTGCAGAGCCTGCTGTTTCCTCACACCCTGCAGCCATCCTTTCAGATCTGGCCTTCCCCCACATTGTTTCAAGCACCTTTAACCGGCCTATCTCCCCCTCCCCACCTCCTCACCTGCTTCTAAGAGGCTTCCGGTGTGATGAGAACTGCTAACCAGCACATCTCTACCTTAGAAGCCATTTGTGACCCTGAGGACAAAAATCCAAACTCTGACATGATTTTATTCCAAAACTGGCTTGGTCTCACTCTCCAATCCAGGTTCCATCTCCTTTCCCAATGCCAGATTTTCAAACTCTCTTCCAGGAAGCTTTCACTGGAGAATTCACCAGAGGCATGCTGTGCCTCTCCAGATTCTGTGAGCCTCAAGCTTCTCATGAGCACCTGCACCACTCTGGGCAAGTAACAGGCATTCAGTAAGGTCTATGGAAAGAGTAAGTACAACCAAAAACACAAACCCTGACACGCTACCATGTAGACTGGCACACTCTCAGCCTTCCAAATCTGCACATACTCAGTTCTCCTTACCACACTGCCTTGGTAACATCAAGTATTTCATAACAAGATAATTGTGGGGTTTTAAAATATTTAAATAGTTTTGACACATAGCAAACACTCAATTCCTTTGGATAGTAATTACAGCATGCCACCTATGTGTTACTCAGGAATTTAGGCTGTAGGAATAATATTTTATTTTCACCGACTCTAAGACTGTCACATCATGTACTGGAAATGCAATTTCAAAAGAAAAAATACTACCGATTAAACCAGGACACATTGCTAATTATAAGATAAATCTAGATTTTCTGAGTACTAACTTGTGGAAACATATGCACTTTAGATTCAATAAAAAAAGCAGTGATAAAAGAGCGGGGCACGGTGGCATGCACCTGTAATCCCAGAACTCAGGAGGCTGAGGCAGGAGGATCACTGTGAGTTCAAGGCCAGTCTGAACTACAAAGCAAGACACTGTCTAAAAAAAACAAAAACAAAACAAAAAACCAACAACAATGAAAAAACAAAAAAGAGATAATCAGTCTTCAAGTAGCTTCTTTCTTAGTGAGGGGAATACACAATGCCAGACTATGATATGACTGATGGAAAAATAACAGGGAAAGGGGATACAGAGTGAAAGGAAGTGCTGGGACTCATGGGGAAGGTCCTCTGGGAAATAATACAAGCAGGGACTTGCATTGAGATATGAGTTGTGGATAAGCAATATTCCAGCACAGGCTATATCAAATACAAAAGATCTGAGCGGGAAATGTGTGGTGGGTTCAAGGACATGTAAGATTAGTACAGGTGGAGCACAGTCCAGATCTGGACAGCCAAACACAAGCCCAGTGGGGTTTCCCAGGTGAAAGCAGGTCTCCTTGGTCTACTTAGGTGACCACAGCGGGTGGGGAGGCTAAGAAAAGTAGTGTAACATGTATCGATCGGGGTACAGGGTATAGAGCCAGATCCCCTAGTTTTGAATCCTCATTCTGCCATTTAAAAGCTGTGTAGACTTGGACAAATTATCTAACAATTCTGAGCTTTAGTTTGCTTAGTTGTAAAAAGAACACAGTAAAAGTACCTGATTTACAAGTTGAAGATTAAAAGAAGTTAACATTTGCCAGTCAAGTAATCAGTTATTACTTTTACCCTAGAGTTATCTATCTATCTACATATGAAACAGGGTCTTGCTTTGTGGTTTGGGCTGACCTTGAACTCACAAGCTCAGGCAGGCCTCACACTCACAGTGATCCTCTTGGTTCAGCCTCCCAAGCAGTGAGATTAAAGTGTGCATTATCAAACCTAGCAGTCATTTAAAAAACTATACCAAGGTAAGGCACAAATTAATTTAGTTGAGCCTCAAAACATAATACTACATTTCTAGATTACCAACTGGTAATATGGTAGCCGTATCATTAAAGAAATAAACTTTTTGTTGTACGTATTTATACATATATATTAGTTCATTTTTCTATTACAGAATAGTAACATTGTTTTGGGAAATTCCTGCATACATATAATATAACTTGTTTATTTTCAATTCCTTTATCCTATCATTCCTTCTCCCTCCCCTACCTCCAAAAGTCCACCTTTTAGATTCTTACCATCTCTCCTTTACTTATATTTTGTATTTTAGGTTTTTCATGTAAAGCATGTGATATTTAACTGAGTCTGGCTTAGGGGAAATAAATTTATGACTTTGAACTTCCCTTCTGCAAAGTTACTTTTTAAAATAACATGTTCTACTCCTGTAAGTTAGTTGTCCTGCAGTATTCTTTATGGAATTAAGTTCCCCATTTAATCACTTATAACACCTATAATAAAGAGGATGTGGGCTGGGGATTTAGCTCAGTGGCATAAGCACCTGTCTTGCAAGCACACAGTTGTGAGTTTGATCCCCGGTACTTCCCCCCAGAAAAAAGAGGATGCATGGCTAGGGAATATTATACCTACTACATAGCTTTTTATTAAATGGCATTAGTACATACATTAGGTTAATACCAAGTGAGTTTCCTGAGTATAAGACCCACACATAAGTTCAGGGTTTTTTCCATGGCTAAAGAGAATTTTGTGTATAAGGAAGGTCAGTCTTTTTGTTCAATCAGATCATGTTTATAGCTTCTTCACCTCATTTCAAGTCATGATGTCCCACATGGTGAGCCAGTCCTATATATAACAGCTTGAAACTTGAGGCTATGTCAGGAGTGTGAGTGAACGGTGTTCTCAAGAGGTTATTACCTTCCAAGTATTCCCTGGGTAGAGTCATGTTTCCAGAAAGCATTTATCTCTACGTGGATGTATTTATGTAAAAGGAGCATTTAATTTTCAGGATTTTAGTATTTAATGTTTTAAGGAGTAAACATAAGATGAGAATTCATCAAAACTGTATTAAGCAATTGCATTGAGGAAATGTGTTAACCTCCAAAAATTCAATAGTAATCAAGATACAGTCCTTGCCTTCAAAGATGTATGAATTTTACCTCAAGCAGTTCTTTGAAATGGTAGCAATTCTGAAGGGGAAAAAATGCACATTTTTTTCTTTTTCAAGCGATGTTGAGAACAGTAGCTGTGGATTCACAGGCTTTTGATAGTTTAAACTCTGACTTACTAGTACTACGTGATCCAGAAAAAGGAGAGCTGGAATAATCATCCTCATCTGTAGAATGTGTAAAGTCACAGAAATATTAGATGAGAGAACATGCACGTAAATGCAGCTCTGTAGAAGGTAGCCACGAGTAACATCGGGTTACAACTAACAGGTTTTCTCCCCTATTTGCTATCAGTGATTGAGCCTCTGGCATGAACAAGGGTAATTTAACTCTTTTATGGAAAACTCACTATATACTTTATGTTTAATAACCTTATACAAGTGCGCGACTTACAGTGGGGTCACACGCCAAGACATTCATAAGTTGAACACATCATAAGTCAAAACTGCAGTAGTTCAGTGTCCTAGAAAGTATGGGATTACCCTTGTGATCATACTGACTGCTTTCCCTGCTCCGTAAGCTTATCCTAGGGTGTATTTTTTTTAATACCAGGGATCGAACTCGCAACCCTCGCGCTTGCCAGGCAGGTACTAATGCTGCTGAGCTAAATCCTCAGATTGCAGAGTGTATTTTGAAAGGTGGATGATCAAAATTCAAAATCTGAAGCATAGTTTCTGCTGAACGCATACAATTTTCACAGTGTCGTAAGATAAAAAACGCCTGTATAATGAACTGCAGATTTCACTTGCAGACGCAGTCCAAGTATTTTACTGGTTGGATGTAATTAAACGGAGTGTAACTCAACTGATTTTAGCGCCTACTCTAGCGAAGTGACCACACCTGTGATACTGCGAAATGTGGGTCGGAGGAGCCAGTTTGGGTTTAGGGCAAAGTTCTCACAGCAGGGCTGGGCCAGAAACAATTCTACTGAGAAAAGCCATCTTTTCCCATGAGGTTCCCATAAGGTTTTGAGAAGCAGAGCTGAGAAGTGGCAGGAGAGGAGAGGCATCGCTAGCCAGAACTGCAGAACCAGTGCATCCATGGCAGGCGCTCCACAGTTCACCGCTTTCCTGCTTGCAACCTGTGCAACCATCAGAATCATAAAGAAGAAATGATCCCTAAAAATCACCGATTTGGATAAACTGCCTAAACATTTTATTTATTTATTTATTTATTGCCAATTTTGGTGTCTACGTGCATTTCTCCACCAAGAAGGTCTGTGTTTCTCATCACGTTCTCAAGAATCGAAGCCTGGAAACACCACGTTCGCTGTAACCGTCCAACTTTCTCATCCGACATACGAAGAAACCGAGGCCCAGTGGAAAAATCGGTTGCCTCAAGTCTAACAACAGGGACACCAAGAGCGAAGGCACTTCAATTCCAACGCCGGCAGCCCGTTCATGACCTCGTTAAATCCACTACGTCGTAACTTCGCTCCCGGGCTAGAAATATTTCCCAGCTGCGGTCCGAGTTCAGGTGCTCTTCCAGGCAGCTCGGATTCCAGCATCAAGGAGACTCCGCCAAGCGCCCGAAGCGACTCGATGGGCACTAAAACTTCCACACCCCGCCCTCACCCCACGGAATTCCGTCACCTCGGCGACTCCTAGTGGAGAACTGGGCACGAGGAGACCCTGGCTAAACGGAGGCGGATCTGCGATTGCGAAGAATACCACCCACTCACCTGACAGCAGAGGAAGCAGGCACGCCCCCAAAGCCGGTTTCCAGCCCAAGGAGGAGGGAAAAAGAGCAAAAAGAATAACAGGAAATGACATAAGATGCACGTGCTTCGGAGTGGGGCGGGCACTGACGTCCGAGAGGCGCGGCCATTGCTCCGCGCCTGCGCAACCGCGGCTTGCCGCGCTGCCGAGTCACTGGGGTGGGAGGAGCATGAGAAGGGGGCGAGGCGCGTGCCTGAGTGACGCAGGCGCAGTGCGGCTTCACAGGCGCGGGCCGCCCCCCGCGGGTTTGGATCCGGGTCAGTCAGGCGCGGCGGTCGGGGAGAGAGGATCTGAACTGACGGGACTGGGTCGCCAGAGCGCCCCAGCCGCGAAGAGGTAGGTCCCCTCACGCAATAAGGAGAGGCAGCGACTCCGCGTCCTGGCCTCGGGGTCCGGCTTGGGTGCGGGAGGCTTACTTCGGGCCCGCCGGCTTCTGGTTGGGTTGGTTGTCGGCGCGGACTGTCCGGACCCGCCTCGGGCTGGGCCTTTCGCGGCCCCTCGTCCACTGTGGCCTGGACTAGCCGGAGCTCGGCGCCCTCGCCGCTTCCCGCCTTCCTGTCTGCCCGCGGCCTCCACCCCTCTCCTCTGCGCTCTCCCGCCCAGCCCTAGCTTCCCCTTTTCATCCTCCTTTGTCGCCCTTTGCCCCTTCCCGCCTTTTCCCGCTCTTCTTCGGGCGTTCTCGTCGGCGTCCCTGCGGCTCCGCTCGGGTCTCCCTCTCTTGCGCCTCCGCCCTGCTCCAGCCGCTCGTTTTGGCTCGAGGAGTCTGTTGCGAGGCAGCTTTCCAGCTGGACTGCCGGGCGGCCTTGTCCCCGGCGCTCCCAGCCCACCCGGTCCTGACCATTCATTCTCCCCGTTCTGTTAATCAGACCCAGATTTTGGCTGAAAAGAATTAACAGGAAGCCGTGCGATTTTAAGAGTCGTGTGCAGAGAGGTGTGGATGTGTTTTTGTCCTGGGGGCCTGTTCTTGTTTGCTTCGAGAGTCGTTGGACAGGGTTTTCTTCCTTAGGCTCCTCACTTCCTGTGGTCTGGGAAAGTTTCGAAACCTTTTAACGTTGTAATGACAAGCTTATGCGGGTCTGGCAGTGATTGTTCTCGGGTTCTGGAAACGTGGAATTAGGCTTGAGGTTTAAGGAAGTCTTGGTTAAAACATAAAGATGTAAATAAGATTGTGATATTGCAATTTGTTCAAAGAAAACCAGGAATTTCCCCTTTGATAGAGAAAACATAAAGTTTACCTGTCATTCTTAAAAGTTTGGGGGAAATCCGAGGCAATGTTAAATTGCAATGTGACTTGACTTAATGCAAAGTACTTCTAATAAGTCGTTATAAGTTTGATCTCTTTGGGGATTGTTCATGAAGTCACTTTGGTGAAAACGACAAATATCTTTCTCAAACTTAATACTAATGCAGAAGGGCATACGAGTTTTATTTGTTGTACAGAGCTAGTTCTATAAGGCTTGCTGTGAATAAATGGGAGACTAGGAATACAGAGAAGCATAAATAAGCCTAACTACAAACATGTGCTGATCTAGCTGTAAAGAGCATGCCTAAAGACGTCTTGCTCTGAGTTAGAATGATTGAAGAAAAAGGTGAATAATTAAAATGTTGAATATCCGAAAATAGTTTAGACAGGACTTAATTCCTAAAGTTTTAATCTGTATCTAGATTTTTATTGTGGCCTGTTGATTTTTAGATGGTAGTCTTTTCGTATGTCAACAAGAATGTTAAGTTTATAGTAACATCTAAGGTGATCACCTGCCCAGCTATTAAGTCAGCACTGTGTAATTAAAGTTATTTATCTACATACAGAGCATCTTTGCATAGTGTTATATTGTAAGTTCCTAGAGTACAGGAATGAAATTCTAGTTTGTAGAGAATGGAGATCCCAGGCCCCCTTATCAAGTTCATCCTTCTATGCCTTAAGGCATTCACTCTAGTGCCAAGGACATGGTAGGACTTATATAAATATTTGTGGAAGGAATAAATTCATGCCTATAGAATTCAGTGTGTATATATAGATGTTATGTATACCTAAATGGTAACTAATTTCCACAGAACCCCAAAAAAGGGTCCGTGTGGGGTCTTGAAGGTTAGAGAAACTGGCCTAGATAATGTGTTAATTCTGTAAGGGCTGGCTTAGTATCATAAAGTGATGGAGGAGAACTATAACTCAGACTTTAATTTAGTCCTGGCAATGGGAGGAATTTATTTACAATCAGTGGTAGCACCCTTTTGATTCTATGGAGCTTCAGCTATATTTAGATGCTGTGGAACTTCAAAATATGTGAGCACCCTTCGTCCTCCCAGTGGTAAAGGACATTGTGTATTTGGGGGGTCCTACTCTAAATTGAGAATTAGAGACCAGTGATACATGGAATTGTATGACTGTTTCCTTCATACTTATGTACTGGTTAAATAAACAGCAAATATATATATGGAGAGTGTATTTATATTTTTTATCTTATGAAATTGAGGTGAAAGCTAGCCATTCTTTTGAAACTGTTTTCAGTTTTCTCCAGAGAGATCTGCCTAAAAATACCTTAATTTCTACACATAAATAAGTGAATGAATGAAGAATCTTTGATTCCTTGCTGCTTAATGCCACTGCTTTGTGATTCTTCATGGTTTCATTAGCCGTATTATGACACTTGACCTTTGGAATGGTAGAGATCTAACAATAACATTAAATTCACCCCTGGGAAATGACCAGATAAGGAATGGGAGAGAATTTTAGGATTAGTAGAGTGGCACTATGCCTCGGGGGTGGGGTGGGGATGGGGTTAGGGATATGGGATTAGAAATAAGAGGTAAGGTAAGTTTGTTTTTAAAAACTTTATTTCTGGATACTACTTTACTTTGTTGTTATGTAAGATTTGGTACTAACTGGGAGTCTAGATTTCAAGAGTTTATTAAGAGACTTCTTTTGGTTGGGCTTTTCATTCCTCTTTGTTTAAATGTACAAATCAAGATAGACAAAATGGAGAATTTGGGATAATCAAACTAGTTAAAAGATTAGTTAAAGACACTGCTATGGAACATTAGTTTTTACTCCCTACTCCCTTTGACTAAAGGAAAGTTCTATATCTTTTTGAGTTGCAAGTACCTTTTTTTAAATAGCTATTCAAAGCTACTTAACAAAAGTATCAAGTTATAAGTAGAATATGGAATGATCAGTAATCATTGAATTAAGTTTCTAATACAATGATAATGTCTTGTTCTTAAATATATCTGCATGCATATTGATATTTGGGTCAGGATTGCTTTGGAGAGAAGGCTATCTTGTGTCATGAAGTACACAAGATAAGTACAGTAAAACCTAGAATTTAAAAAAAAATTTTTTTGAGATAGGGTCTCACTTTGTAGTCCAGCCTCAATCAATCTTGCCTCAGCCTATCCTCGTAAGTGCTGGACTTGCAGGTGTATGCCACCACTGCAGCTAGATTTTAGGTGATGTAGTTCTGAACACTGTTCAAGGGTATTAGTATCAAGTATCTAGACAATTCAAATTCTGTTGTAATGCATCAATATTTACTGTGTTAATGGTATCAAGAATATAGGTGGGGTTTTCTGGTTGGTTTTTGGTAGTGATAGAAATTGAACCTTCAGCACTGTATATACTATGAAAGTACTGTGCCATTGAGCTTTATCTTCTACCAGGAATACAGATTTTTAAAATAAAGGACATGCTTCTGGTGTTACTTTTCACTTTGTTTATCTTTAAAAATTCTTTTTTATTTTTTAGTATTAACGGGAACATCTATAGTAGTGTAAAAACTTTCACAATGAAATCCGAAGCAAAAGACGGAGAAGAGGAGAGTCTACAAACTGCTTTCAAGAAATTAAGAGTGGATGCATCAGGGTAATTAAATATGTAATATATTATTTGGAGTTAGTTGTTTACTAGACTTAACTGGTCCCTTTCCTTTAGTGAGCTCCTCATCTTTATATGTCTAATTGTTTATAGAAGATATAAACGCTAATAGTATGAGATTCTACCAAATTCTGCATCATGTCATTTTACTTTAAGAAGAACCCTTTCTGTTAAATTTGAAAGTAGCTGTTCATTTGTACTCTTAAGGTGGAGTGTTTTGATTTTCTTTAGCTTTGTAGAGGTAGCTCACTTCAAAGATAATCAAGCAGTGTGCCATCAGGGTTGACCTCATACATCTCAGGGGAATTACAGTATTTTTCACCAAAAGTGAATTGGTCCAATAGAAATCTATGAAGACATAGTTGATTTCATGGTTTCTGCTTGCTGAGTCTATCACTATGGAAACCTCTATTCAGTAGGGTTCTGTCACTGAGATCAATAATCTTGGACCCTTTGGTCAAACTTAATTAGAGCACCTGCAGACCAGCTGCTGTCTGAATGTTAATGTTTCACCATTTACAAAATGTTATGTGTAAGCTACTTCTCGCCCCAGTTCTTTGCCCCACCCAGAAGAAATCTCACAATTTCAGTGGATGTAAGAATTCTTATTTTTATGAATGGAAACTAAACACTGGAAGCTAACTAGAAGAATCTACAAGTAAAGTAATTATAATCACTAACATGTTACTCATTGTGCCCTCAGTACTAGCTGTCTGTCTACTGCTAGCATTATCTTTGATCTAACAAATGAGATTTATATTAATAGATTTGTACAATTGTTAAAAGATGGCATTTGCTTCCACGATACTTTAAAAAGGTAACATTTTCCATTGTTTTTCCACTATAATCACCTTGCCATTTCTGTTAATTCCTTGATAAGCTGTTTTGTGAAATGGAAATGAAGCAGAAAAGCAGATAGTTTCAGATTGTGGTTGAAGTGTATTGTTCTGCGATTTCTGGTACAGAAGTCACTTTAAAAAGCACGAAGATACTATGAATACACACACAGGTACACATATAAGCCCATTAGTGTGTTAACTTACATAAGTAATTCTTGATATACAGACTTCTTTCCTGATGTTGTAAGGAATTGGAATGTAAAATTAAGCCATTTTGGTGCTGTTAAAAATTACTTGGATCATTACTAAATATCATCTAAGTATATGTATATTATATGGATGAAATTGTAGTATGTGATCTACCTTGAGTGAAATTACAGGCGGAGGAAGAGCCCTGGAGAACATTGGGAAAAACAAGTAAGAATAGAAGGTATATTATTAGCATGACTAAGCAGAGTAAGACTTGTATAGTGTACCTACATTTTTAGTTTCATTTTGTTGCCGATTCATAAATGGAACTTCTGAGGGACTGACTCATAAAATGAACCAAGCCTTGCTAGGAATTTAGCATGATCCTGCTCAACAGGTTTTGATTCCTAAGGTGTTTGTCCTATCAGGACAAATATGTATGTATTTATTAGAAAACAACATAATCGTTTATACTGGACTAAAATAATACATGTATATTAGAGAAAAATTTACAGAAACAGTATAAGAATAGACAACAGTTAACTTATAATTTACCATAATCTATTTTACTATCTGTACATACCATATACTTTTTTTTAGATAGTTGAGAGTATATATATATAGGTGTTATGTGCTGTTTTCTCCTGGTATTGTAAGTATGCTGTCTTATCATTAAAAGTTCTTCGGTACAAGTAAGTTTTAATAGATTCTTAATGGTTTGTCACATAGATATGCCGTATTTATGTAATACAGTATTTTTTTCTTGTGGGATATTTAGGTTATACACAGTTACTTTGTACTTTGTTTCAGTAAGCATCTTTTTTAGATGAATTTTTTTCTAAAAGATTTTTGTTAGTATCATAGCATGTATAGTGGGAGCCAGGTGTGCTTATGTATATGTGTTTATTGTGTGTATCTGTGTATGTATTAAATCTAGAAGAATTTTTACCAAAATGTGAACGTTGGTAGTCTCCAGGTTGTAAGGTTATGGTTCTTTTTTTGTCTTTTTGAGACAGGATCTCGCTATGTCGTTCAGGCTGGCCTTGAGCTCACTTTGTAGCCCAGTCTGGTCTTGAACTCACAAGGATCCTCCTGCCTTAGCCTCCTGAATGCTAGGGTTACGGGCATGTGCCACCACGCCTGGCTTAGTTCTTTTTTTAAAATTTGTTAATGTTCTTTACTAGAAACTATATTACCTGTATCCTTTTTTCTTTTTGGTACCCAGGATAGAACTCATGATTGCACACTTACAAGGAAGGTGCTTACGCTGCTGAGCTAAATCCCTGGCTACCGGTATACTTTTTTGTTTGTCTTTTTGAAGCAGGTCTCTCTATGCAGTTCAGTCTGGCCTTGAGCTCACTTTGTAGCCCAGGCTGGTTTCAAACTTGCAACGATCCTCCTGCCTCAGCCTCCCGAGTGCTGTTATTACAGGTGTGAGCCACTACGCCCGGCTACCTGTATACTTTTAAACTCAAGATTGAACCCTGAATATTTCAAGTTTATTGGTTTGCAGAAATTAGAATATTTTTGAAAGTTGTATGCTGTTTAAATATATACTCATTTTACAGTTGGATTGAACTCCTAAAGGTTTTGCTTTCAAACTTAGTTCCCACAGCCTGGTTTGCCTACCTGAAATAAATGGTCAGTGTTATTAACATTCTCACTGAAAGTGAGGTGCAATCTGCCCCAGATAAACAGGCTAAAAGTCTATTTCTATCTTGCTGCTGTCTATACTTATGAACCATTCTTTGGCTTGTGATTTTGCAACCATGAGCTTTAGGGATCTTCTAGATTTACTTTTGGAGGAAAATTTATATTAAAATCTGACGAAATTTTGAAAAATGGAAAATAAAGATATTGCTAAAAGTGATATTTGAGTTAGAGCAATGTGTTTTCATTTAGAGTTTTCTGTAGCAGTAAACTTTTGTTCTTGTCTTCAGGTCCATCGCATCACTGTCTGTTGGAGAAGGCACAAATGTTAGAGCATCAGTTAGAGCAGCAGTAGATGATACCAAACCTAAAGCCACATGTCCATCTAAAGACAGTTGGCATGGGTAAGAGCTTCTTGTTGATAGAATTTTTATCCTGGTACCTTAAAATATTATTGAAAAAAAAAGTGTGCCATGATATAGAACCCAATGCACAGCAATTAAGAGAACTCATTCTTTTCAGTCATAAATTTGCTGAGACCTTCTCTATGGCTGGTTCAGTGGCAGTTTTTATAAATGCACATGTGTTGTAGAATGTCTTTTGTGTAACTCTTCTTGAGTTCTGTATCCATTCAAACTTTTAAATTTGGTATACGAGGCTGGGCATGGCTGCACATCCTTGTAATACCAGCTACTCATTAACATGATCAACAGTTTGAGGCCAAAATAGGCAACTTACTGAGATCTTTTGTCAAAATTTAAAGGGCTGGAGTGCTTCAGAGGTAGAGCCCTTGACTAGCATGAATAAGGACCTGGGTTCAATCTCTAGTATCACAAAAGGGAAAAGGGGATATTTGGGTTTATGGGGTGAAAGCTTGAGATTTTGTATCCTTTTCTGGCCATTAACCTATTAATAATAGAGAGATGTGTTGAAATCTGTGTAAAATTTATCTATTTTACCTTTTAAGTTCTATGTTTCTGCTTTATATATTTTGGGATTATTTTGTTAGGTTCATAAAGCTTAGATTCATTCAAGTTTAGAATATTCCTGGGGAGTTGGGATATTTGTCATGTAGTTTTTATAAAACCATTACAGTGGTACCTTGGTTTAAATATTTAATTTGTTTTACAATTTTGGAGAAGATGACTGTGTTTGTGTTTGAAGGAAGATGACTGTGGTGGTGTTGGTCACCCAATATGGAATTTGCAAATGGAAACAAAATTTTACTGAATGCTTTGTTTATGAATTGAATTGTTTGCAGATAGAAGCATTCATGAACTAAGGTACTAATCGTATATGGTTTTTGTCTGGAATTAATAAAGTTCAGTTTTCTTTTAGTATTTGCATAGTATATCTTTTGCCATTTCAACCATTCTGTGCATATAAATTTTAGATGTGTCTTACATAAATAGCATATGACTTGGTTCTGTTTGTTCTGTTTTATTCAGTCTGATAATTGAGATCTTAGCTGGGGAGTGCTTTAGATTTATTTTGGTTGTTGGTGTTATTGGATTTCACTTTTTACTTTGTTTTGTTCTGCTGTCCCCCCACCTTTTTTTAACATTTCTTGCCCTCTTCGTCTTTTAAAAAAAATTATTTGAAATGTTTTATTTACTTTTTCCCCCTGCCACTTTTCCTTATCTGATTTAGAACTGTATATTGATACTATTCATTCTTTTAGTAGTTCACCTTGAAATTTCTCTTTCTCTTTCTGTCTTTGTCTGCTGTCTTTCTCTGTCTCTCTCTCTCTCTCTGTGTGTGTGTGTGTGTGTGTGTGTGTGTGTTTTGGATGCGAGAGAGCAAGCTATGCTGGGGATTGAACCTAAGACCTTAAACACTGAGCTACATCCCTAGCCTTTTCTTATTTTTTTTAATTTTAAGACTTTCTAAGTTACTCAGGGTGGGCTTGAGCTTGTGATCCTCTTGCCTTACCCTTCCAGAGTGCTACTTTTAATAAAAACCAGTCCCAAGTGTGAGAGTGATCTGTCACTCTGTTGATTGCCAGAGTTGATTTGATTAATCTAGCTGCCTAGAGAGGTATCCTTTTCCTCCCTCACTGCTCCATGAATGTCCTTCCCAAAACTGTGCTCCATTGAAGAGGACAACCACCCACAGTAGAGGAGGACCAATTCCTCATTCAGGGGTACACAAGTAGCTCTGCTCCCCCTCTAAAGCCTCCAGACAAGCTCACAGAAAAACACTCCCACCTCCATGTATGCTTTTTTTTTTTTTTTTTTTTTTTGTCTTTCTCATTTTTATCGGTACCAGGGATCGAACTCACGACCGCCTGCTTGCAAGGCAAGTACTTATGCCACTGAGCTAAATCCCCAGTCCCTCCATGTATGCTTTTGGCAGAAATAAAAGTTAGTATTATAAACCTACTCTGTAGAACTTTTTGTTCTGATTGCATGACTTCTATGATGTAGTTGCCCGGTATTTCAGTTGTCACTTTTAATATCAGAAATTAGGCTTTATTACTATAAAGCAGTGTTTACTTATATTTATCTACATAAAAGTTTCTCTGCTCGTTAGTTTTACATCTTAGACCTTCCAGATAGTATGTATCCCCTTCTTTCTTCTTAAAATAGTTCCTTTAGCGAACAATCTTCTACTAGTAAATAGGTTTGTGCATCACATAATCTACATGTAATACATTGCAGTGGGATCCCCAGAGCTGCTTATGTAGCCCAGTTATAGAGTGCTTCGTAGAGATATAGGGGAAAAATATAATTCCCAGCCTGCTAGATGTCAGATATACTGAGTTCCCCAAAATCCCCTAGCTAGCTAGCTGCCTTACCTATAAGTTACTTAAATAAACTATTTTCTACAATTCATGTCTCATGTCCTATTGGTAAATATACTTTGTTTGTCTTTTTGGTTTCTTTTTCTTTTCTGCTGCTGCTTCTTTTTTTTTTTTCTTCTTTCTTCTTTCAGCAATACTAGGAATTGAACCCAAGGCCTTCACATTGTGTTTTTATTTTGAGATAGGATCTTTACTAAGTTGCCCAAGCTGGGCTTGAACTGTTGATCCTTCTGCTTCATTCTAAGAGTTTATGGAATTACAAATACGCACCACCATACCTGGCTTCATCTTTGTTTTTGAAAGATAGACTGGATATAAATGAAATCATACTTCTAGGTTAACAGCTATTTTCTTTAGCACTTGACGATACTGTTCATTGTCTACTTAATTGTGTTGGTATTTGAAGGCTTACCATGAGTTTAATTTTGTTACTCTTTTGGAAATCTGCCTTATCTCTGGCTGCTCTTGATATATTTTGTTTTTGGTGTGCTATAGTTTCTTTATCATACTGAGCTTAGATGTGGATTTCTTTATTCTCTTACAGTTTTCCTGTAACTATAGATTTTATTGATCAATTCAGATAATTCTCAAAAATCACTTGTCTTTTATTCTCTGTGTTCTTTAGAGACTCTAGACTTACTCAGTATTCTATTCGTCTTTTATATTTTTTTCTAAGTTCTTCTGTCTACTATCTTTTAGGTGAGGGATGGACAGGCTATTTTTTAAAAGGATAACATGGAAAATATTTTAGACTTTGGAAGCCAAAATGTAAAGATATTTTACAAGTCTGTATTTATATAAGAGAGACAGCTCTTATCCCACGCTGTTTCCATATGATGGACCCTGCTAGCTAAGACACACACTTCTGAGTCTTGGGATGAAATTAATAGCTTGAGAGAGAGACCCTGGCAGAATGAGTGGGTCTGGTTTTACTCTAACTCAGTGACAACCAGATTGCAGCTTGTCCTTATGTCCTCCAAATATCCTTGCATTGGTTGGGAGTCTTGAATTGAGATTTTAACTCTTGGCGCCCAGCAAGTGGTGCTAGTATGTAGGTGGTAGTTACTGTGGGCCCTGTAGGTGGCGTGCCATGCCCACTGGCTAGAAAAGCAGCAGACAAGAGGGGAATGGAAGGAAGAAGAGGCATGGCATTCGGGATTAGACTAATCCCAGTGCTAGCCCATTGGTGTACTGTCTGAAGGCTGTATTGAAATAGGTTGGGGTGCTCAGGGTATAGCTCAATGGTACAGCATGTGCTTAGCATAAGCAAAACCAAACGATTAATCCCTAGCTTCCCTCTCCAAACCAAGTAGAGGCACCACATCTGACCCCAGGCAGCTATTTGCACTTACGTGTTATGAATCAGGTTTATCTTCCAGTTTGGTGATTCTTAGCTCTTTCCAAATTAGTTTAATTCAAAATGCAATTTTATTTGTTCATTTTGTAGTAGTGGGGATTGAACCAGGACCTTCACACTAAGCTATATCCCTAGCCTTTTTTATTTTTATTTTGAGATAATGTCTTACCGAGTTGTTCAGGCTTGCCTTGAACTCATGATCCTTCTGTTTCAACCTCTATAGTAGCTAGATACACAGGTATATTCAACCATGCCCAGCTAATTTTAATTTCTTTTATTCAAATGTTTTATAATTAGTTATATATTTATCTGATTCATGGTATCCAAAGACCTAAGAGAGTCTAAATCCTTTTTGTTTGTTAGCTGTTACCAATGATATGAAATTAACCATAAATCTGACACTGTCGAAATGGCTATTGGTAGCATTAGCTTACCCTGTATTGCAGTTATTTCCAGGGTTAGGGCACATTAGGCTTTACAGCATCAGTCTGTCTGTACAGGATTCTTTGCACTTTGACCATGTCCACTGTCAAAGGTTCCAAATGCCAGGATGGAAACCAGACAAGTATTCTTCTACATCATACATTTAGTCCAAGTGATTCAGTTTTCTTTCTTGTTTCTGTAGCTTCTAATAAGGAAAGATTGAAGTTTTTGAGACTAAACAAACAGGCAGCTTGGAAATGGAGCAGGTACCTCTTTTTGGCGGCAGTATGTGACCTTAAACTTACAAAGCCGAGAGAGAGTATATTTCCAGCTTTTATAAGGAAGCTATTAGGGCTCTGTATCCCAACATTTTCTTGTATATTTTTCTGTCTTAGGTCTACAAGGAAGTCTTCACGAGGAGCAGTGAGAACCCAGCGACGTCGACGTTCTAAGTCTCCTGTCCTTCATCCTCCAAAGTTCATACATTGCAGTACAATAGCATCTCCTTCCAGCAGCCAGCTTAAGCATAAAAGCCAGACTGATACACCTGATGGCAGCAGCGGGCTGGGAATTTCAACCCACAAAGAGTTCAGTGTGGGAGAAAGTTCTGCTTCTCTTGATGCTAATCATACAGGGGCAGTTGTTGAGTCTTTGAGAACTTCGGTTCCCAGGCTCCCATTGGAAATTAAGACCGAAGACTCCTCTAATGCTACCCAAGTGTCTCAAGCAACTCTCAAGGCCAATGATCTCTCTGACTTTCGGTCTGTTTCCAAGTTAAACCAGGGCAAACAATGTGCCTGTGTAGGCAAGGAGTGCCAATGTAAGAGATGGCATGACATGGAAGTGTATTCATTTTCAGGCCTGCAGAATGTCCCTCCCCTGGTCCCAGAACGAATTTCCACTCTAGAGGACTACTCTCAGTCGCTGCATACAAGAACTCTGTCTGGCTCTCCCCGTACCTGTTCTGAGCAAGCTCGAGTCTATGTGGATGATGTGACCATTGAGGACCTATCAGGCTACATGGAGTATTACTTGTATATCCCCAAGAAAATGTCTCACATGGCAGAGATGATGTACACTTGATAGCCAGAAGCTTACTCGTGTGCTTTAAACCAATGAAGGGTTGTCAAAGAGATTTAGTTAACGGCTGACTTTGTGGCCACTTTGTGAGAAGACATCTCTTTCTGCTCACTGTGCTTGCAATAAAAACTTTTCTTGGCATCTTAATTAAACTTCATTCTTTAAATTTACCCTCTGAGTTCTTATATACCCACCAAGACAAGCAGATCAGAGAAAATGCTTCTCATCCAAAAGTGTTTTAGGGGGATGAAGAAGCAGTTATTGGAGACTGGCAGCAGTGGGTTTATGGTGAAAGCCTTTGTAAAACTTTAGTTTTTCATGTTTAAGATTTGATAGCTAAGGAAAATCAAATGTTTTATAACCGGATCAAACATTTGTCGTGTTGTAGTGCCAGCTCAGAGTATTAGAAGTTGTAAGACTGACTTAAACCAACTATGATTTAATGTGGGATTTGTGTCATTAAAGGTTTTTTATGTTGTCAAACCAGAGATCTGAAATCTAGATTCAATTTGAATAAACTAGCTGGCTTCCCTGTATTGTTTGAGTGTCACTAACCATCACTAAATAAACCCCTGCTGGTGCTGTTCACCTTGAGACATGCTATGTGAAGTTTCTCAAAGCTGTGTCAGTTGGAAGGAGGAAGTATAATATTTGAAACTAGAGTGTGTCTTCTGACACTTATTTAAGGCCTGTTTTGATCAGTTGTAGTATGTCTCATACCTCAGTTTCAAATGCTGTAGGTGTTTATTAGCTCTTTGATTATACAACCTCCAAAGATAATTTTTTACATGGTATATTCTAACACATGTCTAGTCAGCCCTTCCAAAATTCCCTGCAAGATTCTTTTTTTAAATATGCTTATTTTAGCTGGAATGTGAGTTCTTAGCTTTTTCAGGTAGTTGCAATATGAATGTTGTATATACCACAAAATTTGTATAATTCATACCATCTTAAGCATGCCCACAAAATCCAGTGAAAATATCTAGGCATGTTAACATAATAGTAATAGGAAATTTGCTTTGTGCAGATTACAAAGTGAGCCTTTACTGTTTGCCAGAACATCCCACTGACGGCATAGTTGATTCGTGACAGTGGGCTCATAGGTGATTTATACTTGGGACAGGTAGGAAGTGTAGAAGACCCTTGCTAATTGTTTTTTGTTTGAGAGGATTTCTCTATGCAGTTCAGGTTGGCCTGGAACTTACTTTGTACTCCTGGCTGGCCTCAAACTCGGTGATCTCCTGCCTCAGCCTCCTGAGTGTCTGGGATTACAGGTGTGTACCACTACATCTGGCCCCTTGCTAGTTGCTGGCTAATTTTTTGCTAATTCCTTGCTATTTGCTGGATTTAGTAGCATCTGAAGGCTGTGATGAGAACAAGGAAGCAAAATGTTATCATGGCCCTGAAAACTAACTGACAGGGTTTTCAGTGGTGATCATAGATGCACTACCTCGTATGTCAAAGGCAGCAGTTCTCAAACTTGTTCTTTACACCACAAATTCAGCACCCCAAAGAGAATTTATGTGGATCAGAGCTCAATATTTGCCAGGTTAGAAGTTCCAGCTAAGAAATTTATAAAACATGAATAACTGGTTGTAAGCTAGCATTTTAAAATTAAAGATGGCTTTTCTGAAACAAACATTAAATGGGAAAAGTGGCATTGTTTTACATTTATGCAGGTTTCATAGGAGTGTTCATTGTCATAGAAGTACTCATGTCTGCTCTGTATTCACTCCAGATATCACATCATTTTCAGCAGACTCCATTGTACACTTGAGAGAATGAGCAATGTCTTAGTGGCATGAAATTAGTTGAACCTCAGATTCCTTAAGAGTCTCAGAACTCCCAGGGATTCCTAAACCACCCTCTCAAATATCTAGAGTCCATTTAAGCTGGTTGAAAAGGTACTAATCCTACCCACACCTACAATTAGCATTCTGTCTCACTTTTTTATTGGAGAGTTAACTTGTAGTGAGCTACTTGATTCATACACAGTTTAGATTAGTTCCAAAGTCATGAGGCCCTTTTTGTTTGCTTTTCAAACAGTGGTCTGGTTATTAATATATATTAATAATCACGAGAATGAAAAGAGGTACTATCTGGGGGATGGGGTACTGGGAGATAGTATCTTTTTGTACAGAGTCAGTAGGGTATAAGGATTGAAAATATAAAAGTTCCAATGGTCTAGTAACCTATTGAAACCTAGGATGAAGGTTAGGCATTCCAGATTTATGAGGATACATTATAGATTACTAATACCCCATTCATTTTTTTTTTTTCTTTTTGAGACAGTCTCACTATGCAGCTCAGGCTGGTCTTGGGCTCACTTTGTAGATCACGCTGGTCTTGAACTTGCAGACAATTCTGCGTCAGCCTCCCAAGTGCTGAGATTACAGGAGTGCGCCACCAGGCCCAGCTCAAATCTTATCAAAGAGTAGAAGTTATTCTGCTCAGACCATACTGGACCAACTTTATCGCAGGACATTGGACTTTTATCTGTGGATGTGATTTACTCTCATACTGGAAAATGGATTTAGTTTGTGTATTAAGGAATTGTTTTAAGTTACATTGTGGTGTTCTGAAGGCTGGCATCCTGCCTTCTGTCTTTAGTTGACTCTTGAGTGAGCATAACAGTCTTTTAAATCTCTCAAGTGTGTGCATTACACCAGACACGCTAGGTACCAGAACTAGAAAAGTAAGCACAACACTATTCCTATCCTCTGTGGAGGAAGGTGAGGAATGTGAGTGGTAGGGAGGAAGGGCTCAGGTTTCTATTTTATTTGACAGTTCTGTCGTCAGAGAAGCTTCTGTGTGATAAGACAGTTTCTGAGCAGAGACCTGGAGGAAGGGAGGGAGTGAGCTCCTTTGGGAGGAGTGCAATTTTGGCAGAAGGAAACAAAAGTTACAGTTAGGTGTAATCGGAAGGATGCTGGTGATGGCAGCCGGGGGATGGGGGGAGCTTATGGGGAGATCTTAAAGGCGCTGGCTGTTAGCAATGAGATAAAGAGCTAATTAGGGAGTGAGCAAGGAAGAGAGACAAGATTTATTTTTGAGAAAAGGTCTCACTATGAGACAAGATCTGGGCTTGAATTTACCATGTAGCCAAGGTTGACTCAAACTTGTTTCCCTCCTGCCTCCGCCTCCCAAATGCTGAGATTAGGAGATGACCCTTTAAAGGAGCACCAACTGCCGCCTAGAGGAGACCAAGGGAGGCAAGCACAGCAGTCAGGAGGCTTGCCCTGGGTCGAGCGCTGGTTTGTGGTGGCTGGACAGTTGACAGTGCAGGAACTATTACGTGGTTTGCAATTACTTTGAAGGTAGAGCTGAAGGGATTTACTAGTGGGTTGGATACAGGGTATGAGAGAGGAATTAAGGATGACCCCAAAGCTTTTAAGGAGCTAAGAGTCGGTGCAGATTTGAAGGGGAAATGAGTTTAGTTTTGTTCTTGTCAAGTGTGAGATGCTTTTGATCCATGTGGAGCTATTGAGTACATGGTTGGGTGATGACTGGAACCAGGAGATGTGGTTTGGAGAGGCCAATAAAAGAGCCATCATCAGTATGTGAGTGTTTGTACAACGAAGATCACCTACGCAGAAGGTACAGAGATCAGCGGCGGACTGCAGCTGGAGTCCCGGGGACTCAGCAAGGTGAGGTAGGAGGATCACTTCAGCCCGTAAGTTCAAGGCCAGCCTGGACAACATAGTAACATCCTGTTTGAAAAAAAACAAGTCAGCAGCCAGGCATGGTGGCCCACTCCTGTAATCCTAGCACTCCAGGCAGGAGGATTATTGTGAGTTCAAGACCAGCCTGGGTTACAAAGAGAGCTCAAAGCCAGCCTAAGACCCTGTCTCAAAAAGAAAAAGAAAAAAAAAAAGACTAAGCTCTGCACATCCCTGAGGTACAGAGTTCAGGCACCGAGAAGGAAGCAGTGGAGCATGGGCAGGTCCATCCTAGAAATCAACTGAGAAAGCCTTTCCAGAAGGGAGTCAGCTGCTCGGCTGCTGACAAATGTGCCTACCATGCAGATGGGGAAGTCAGGGTCCACCCAAGATGAGGTGCTGTGTATTCTTTGGAATGAAGAAAATGCCTGCCTCAAGTGACTCTCGATTGGGAAAATGAGCCAGCCTGTGGGATGGCAGCTGCCCCCCTGGGGAGACCGGTCTGGAAAGGCCCCTGGGAAGCGCAGGCTTCCTCAGCCGGGCTCAGGACCTCAGAACTCCAGCTGCCTGGGCACGGTCCTCTTCTGCTCAGGACTCTTCCTTCTTGGGTTCTCTCAGGAAGTGGCCGGGCTTAAAATGGCAAGGAGGTAACAACGGGATGAAGTGACGACCTTTGACCAGAACAGGACCAGACAGTGAAAAAATAGCCGGGAAGAAGAGAGAGGGCTGACAGCTACCTTTAAATGCGATTTAAAATTCATTTCAGCTTTTGGAAATTCCACTTTGTTTTAAGAACTATTTTTTCTAAGGACAAACTTGAAATGCACATACGGCCACAAGGGGGCTCCCTTTCCCTGAAATGCACAAGATTAGAAACAAGCCAAAATAAGTGCTGATTTTGTCTGCTGGGCTGGTAAGGCCAAGGCCAAAGTTGGCAATCTGAATTTTACCTAAATGTTTACAAAAGTCACTTGCTTGTGAGGGGCGACCTGGGATGTGGTCACATATCTAATTCCAAAACTACCTGCCCTGTAGAAAGCCAAACTACAGCCTGTAGAAAGTAAATGAATCTATAACTTATAGTTGCTATTAAGAAACTTCCATTATTTGAAAACTTAGAGAAGTTTTTAACCAGGGACAGGATTTATCTGGGGAGCTTTTAGAAGGAATTCGGTGACCCATGTCCTCTCCCTCTAGAGTCGGATGGCATTAGTTACAGCAGGCTCACACTCCTTTCCACATTCTCTTCCATTTTTCTTGGACAGCGCTGCCGCTCTGACTCCTCAGGGAGCAGTGAGAATGCAGAACCCCCTGGAGACAGCGCTGAGGTGTCCTTTGAGATGATTTTGGGGAGCAAACTGTTGTCCTTCTGGCTACAGGGCAGGCTGCTGGGCTGAATGACCATCTTTGCCCACTGTTCAGTCCTAAGACCTAGTCATCAGCAGAGCAGAAAGGAGGGAACATTTTCTGCCCATTTCTGAAATAAGAATAAAACTTCTGCCAGAAATTTATGTCCCCTCATTGCCATGGGATTTAGAAGTACGTCAGATATGTTTGAAGTCAGGAAATAGTCTAATGGCTCTAGTCTCCAGTGGCTTTGCTTTTTTTGGTGTTTCGTATCCCAACCCATCTACTCCTCCTCTCCCTCTCTCCTTTCTGTGTCTCTCTCCTTGCTTTTCTCTGTCTCTCTCCCCCTTCTCTCTGTCTCCCTCCCTCTCTTTTATCTGTCTCTCTCTGTCTCCCTCTTTGTCTGTCTGTCTGTCTTACACACACACACACACACAGCTGCCTAACCTTGGAGGTCCTTACCTTCCCCTGAGGTACTCTGTACTGTCACCCCTGGGCTTGGTTGGAATTTACAATCGTTAGCTCAGACACAGCTTATGGTCACTGGAGATTTATTTGTTCTTTGTACTAGAGTTTGGTGGGAACCTGAGTGCTGGGAATCTACCCAGGCCCTTAGCTCTTGACCCTGTCCCAAGAGCTCTCTGACGCCTGGCCTCTGGCTCTGAGGACACTAGAGCAAAGAGTTTGGAAAGGAAGTTTTAACAAAAGTCATGAGCCTTGATCCTTGAGTATTTCTTCGTGGATTTCATTCCTCACAACCTGCAATCCCGGGTCTCAGCAATAAACAGGGGACAACCTCTTCCCCTTCAGGATGGTGTCTGCCCTTCAGGGAGCACGACAGCAAGCAGACGGTGGGTTTAGCCTTGAATTCTCCCTGGGTTCCTGGGGTGGAGAGGATTTAGGATTGTGCATGGGCGCTGTCTCGGATCTTCTGTATCTTCCATACTCTGTGGCCAGAACCTCACCTCTCTTCCTGAGTGTCCCTCTGCAGTCAAAAGCAAACGGGAAACTGTGCCTGTTGCTTTCTCTTTAGGTCACCCCCTTCCTTAATGGGGTTGGCAGTGGCGCTGGAGCCCCAGGGCCCGTTGGAGAGTGCGGGTGGCAGGGGCATCTAAGGTTTGCCAGCCTGTGCATGCCGGGGGAGCTGAAGGGTCCAGGGGTGCTGCACTTGGTATCCCCTACCCCTCCCTGTCCACAGGACACTGAGATAGAAGGCAGCACCTACCCATGGGGAGGGAAGACCCAAAAGTGGCCCGGGCTGCCTGCACTTAACTCTTGGCTTCCTTCCCTGCCCTCCAGCCCCTGCCTGGGTCTGCAGCCACAGCTCTGTTTGAAACACCCCTCCCTCCTGCTTCGAGGGAGGCTTGGCTGCCCAGGGGTTATTTTGGGAGCAGCCTGTGAGATCCAATGGCCTTGTTAGGGCAACACTGACCTTTCTGTCCCAGGAGGAGGGCAGGGCTGGAGAAGGGGCGGGGCAGCGGCAGGGAGATCTGGACTGCACACCCACTGGGGTGGAGGAGAAGGGGGCCAGGGGCGGCCTTCGGGAAATCTGCCTGGGCTGGGGCTGCCACTGGGGAAACGGGCCCCTCTGGATACCGGGACCCCTCTACCCAACACCCTTCACTGTGCTTCTTAAAGGGATCACAGCTTTTCCCTCCGACTCCATGGAAGCCAGACTTGGGACGCTTGGTGGGGACATTTGAGTCTTCCCTGCTTGCTTCCTTCACCAGTGGCAGCCTTCCTCTGACTAAGGGGGGCCCCAGGCATGGCTCTCACCAGCACCCCTAATGCTGACCTGGCTCCTGGGCTCTTTCAGCCTCTGCTAGCCTCTTGCTTCCCTCCTCCAGGGGCGCGGTGGTGAGTCTGGGGGCTCAGACCGAGGGTGCCTGGACAGTGTCAGTTTTCCCGGACAGCCCCTGCACCCAAGCTGGAGGACGGCGAGGTGGTAGGGGGTGAGGATGAGATGAGCGGGGGTCGCTTTGACTTTGATGATGGCGGGGCATACTGTGGGGGTTGGGAGGGGGGGAAGGCGCACGGACATGGACTGTGCACCGGCCCCAAGGGCCAGGGCGAATACTCCGGCTCTTGGAACTTTGGCTTTGAAGTGGCAGGTGTCTACACCTGGCCCAGCGGAAACACCTTCGAGGGATACTGGAGCCAGGGCAAACGGCACGGGCTCGGCATAGAGACCAAGGGGCGCTGGCTCTACAAGGGGGAATGGACTCATGGCTTTAAGGGACGCTACGGAACCCGGCAGAGCTCCAGCAGCGGTGCCAAGTATGAGGGCACTTGGAACAACGGTCTGCAGGATGGCTATGGCACTGAGACCTACGCAGATGGAGGTGAGCCCGGCCTGGGACCTGCAGGGCTGGGTGGGGCCATAGCGGGAGGGACACTGAGGGGGGCGGTGGGAAGGGCAGGACAGCTGGCACAGAAGTAGCTGATATGATTTGCTGTGTGGCTCTGGGCAAGCTGTGCTACCTCTCTGTTCTGCCATCCATTTTCTAGTTATTAAAAGATAGGGCTAGTAAAGGCAGGCGTACTTAGTACAAGGCTTGCTGTATGCTATGTACTCTAGACACACTCAAAAAAATATAATACTGCTGTCTGCATAGTTGGTGTGTAAATAGCTGTGGAGTAGACTCTAGAGCTTGTATTTTAGTAGAATTTGGGTCTGGTCTGGACTTTGCCATAAAAATTGTTTTCAAGCCATAGATCAGGGAGAATGTTTACTCAATTGCTCCCCCCACTCATTCATCCACCCACTCACACACGGTCTTTCCTTCGGTGCATATTTCTGTCCTACCTACTATTTGCCAGGCACTGTACCAGGAGTAACGTGGTCCCTGGCTTCAAAGTTAGGCGTGCGGGCATTATACACAGCTATGTGCAGACAGCTGCGGCAAGAAAGAGCAGCCGGGTTTGGGGAGGGCAGGGAGGGCTTCAAAGGCCAGGAGACTTGAGGGAGATCTTGATGTGAAGATGTGATTTCGAGAGTGGGGGTTGAAGACTGTGTCCTGGCAGAAAGAAGAGTTCATCCAGAGGCTGGGAAGAGTGAGCCTAATCACGAGTTAAGGAGACACAGAGGTTCCCGTAGCAGAACAGTGCTGGGAACTGGCCGGGCAGCCATTACCTCACCTACTGGTGTGACAGCGCTCACCTGAGCCTCCGTTTCCTCATCCATAAACTGGGGTGCTTTAGAGCATGAATGCTGCTCCCCAAGTAGTCAGTAGAGATGCAGCCACAGCACGGTCTGTCCTCCAGACAGAAATGCAGGTTCTGAGGCCCCATGCAGACTTTTCTGAATCAGCATCTCTGAGTAAAGGCCCAGAAAACTGATTTAACAAGCCCATCGGGAAGAGCTCAGCATGTCAATGTTTCTAAAATACTGCTTTGGGGTATGGTGACTGATGCCTACAATCTGGGGTACTTGGGAGGCCGAGGCAGGAGACTCACTTGGGCCTATGAGCTTGAATCCTGTCTAGGAAACATAGACAGACCTGGCCTCAAAAAAAAAAAAAAAAAGAATCTGTTTATTTATTTTGATGTTTTGAGACAGAGTTTCACCATGTAGTTCAGGCTGATCTTGAATTCACTCTGTAGCCCAGGCTGGCCTCAAACTCACAGCAATCCTTCTGTTTCAGCCTCCCTAGTGGTGAAATCACAGGACTGTGCCACCACAGTCAGCAGAAAATATTAATTTAAATCAGGGGCTATGCCAGATGTGGTGGTGCATGCCTGTCCAGCATTCAGGAGGCTGAGGCAGGAGAATCACTGCAAGTTTGAGGCCAGCCTGGGTTACAAAGTGAGTTCAAGGCCAGCATGAACTGCACAGTGAAACCCTGTCTCAAAAAGACAAAACAAAACAAATAAAATCAGGAGCTAACAAACTGTAGATCATAGGCCAAACTGGCCTGTTACCTTTCTGTGCAGCTTGTGAGCTGAGAGTGGTTTTATATTATAATTGTTTGGGGGAAGAAAAGGCAAAAGAAGAACAACTTTGGCGACATGTGAAAATTACATAGAAATCCCTGTGTGATGTCCTCAGTTTGGCCTGTGGTCCTACAGAGCCTAAAGCATTTTACCTTCTGATTCATCACAGAAACAGTTTGTTAGTCCTTGGGAAGCTGAGGCAGGAGGATCATGAGTTCTAGGCCAGCCTGGGCTGCATGGGGAGTTTGAGGCCAGCCTGAGCTATACAGCAAAAGCATGTTTCAAAAAATTTAAAACTGAAATGTTGCTCCTGCTTTTAATGGTTATTAGATTCCTTCTGGCACAGAATAAGTCTATGGCATCTTCCTAATGTGCTACGTGGCTCAAAACTGGCTATTGAAAAAGTAATTCTTTGAACCACAGAAGGCATATATAAAACATTATTTTTGCCACCCCCCCCCATAGTAGAATATAGGAGGCTGGCATTCTGGAATGGGGCAGGGGGCAGGAAGAAGCGTCAGCAGCCCTCAGGCTGCAAGATTTGCTCAAGCCAAGGCCCTTGGGCACCTGTGAGCTGCCTTGGGTCAGGGTGTGTTGGGGTCTGGATAGACCTGCCCTTTGGCATGTCTGGATGTTAATGGGTTGTGTTTTTGTGGGCTCGGGTGGCAGCCATTGAGCACTGGCTAGAACTGAGCAGTGCTAGGGACAAATTCTGGCTCCATTGCTTGCTAGTTTGGTGACCTTGAGCTGCTTGCTGACCCTCTCCAGTGTGGTGCAGTTCGGCTCACCAGATGGTTATGCTGGCAAGGGTGTCGCTGGTGACACAGCAGAAAGCAAGCCTCAGTTTCTCCAGCTGTACATGGAGACGATCCTCGAGTGCTTACGAGGTGTCAGTTACATAGGCAGAGCAGCACATGGTAGGCATGCCATGCCCAGCATTCCTTCCCTTCTCCTTTCTCTCCAAACCGAGAGTAAACCAACACTCACACATGTGAGTCTGGGCATGTGAGTCACAGGGACACACATTGCCGGGCTGATGTGAGCATGGGAACCGATGTGTTGATTTTCCAAAATGTCTGTCTAAGAGGAGGAAACCCATTCACTCATTCATCCCTTCACTGACTCCCTCATTTTCCTGCTCAGTCCCAGGCACTGTCCCATAGCAAGGTCTAGGGGTTGGAGCAGTGACTATAACTTCCTGACTAGTGGGAAAGACAGAAATAAACCAGAAAGTACTCGTACACAGTATGACAAAATAATATGATGAATATTAAAACTGTCTTAAAATTTACTATAGTAAAAGACACATTGTCATGGGTCCCCCTCGGAGCCCTCCTCCTTGCTTCTCACGTCCTTACACCATTGTTCTTGTCACTTTCTCGAACAGTGTTAGAAGTCCTTTCACATGAGTGTCTTTAGTGGCACTGTTGTGGCTGCCTTGAGGTCCTGAATCAGTTCCGGATGTTTACCTTTCATGGGCATTTTGATTTGGGGGAAGGACCAGAAGCTGTATGCTGCTGGGTTTGGTGAGGGGGTGGATGAGGACGCACAGGAATATTTTCATGGCTTTCTGTTAGGTGTCACTCACTAGCAGCGTTCACCATTTTGTTTTAATCAAATCTGTAAAGACACCCATGAAAGAGGACATTCAGAGCTGCTTCAGAAAGTGACAAGAATGCGGGAATAAGTGTGTTCAGGATGAGAAGGAGTATTTTGAGATAAGTGAATGCAATGTGTCTTTGACTGTAATACATTTTTAAATTTTAAACGTGTACCATATACTCCAGGCACTCTTCGTTTATGTAAGTTCCAGAAGTTTCTAGCATACTAAGAAAGGAGAGAGGGAGAAGTGTCGTGTTTTCGATGAGGTACTCAGAGCAAGGTGGGGAAGACTGGAAAGGAAAGAGGGCCTTTCAGGCAGAAGAACAGAGATCCAGGACCAGGCTGGGCAAACTTGGGGAGCAGCAAGACCCCTGGGACTGCAGGAGCCCCGAGTGAGCGAGGGGTTCAGACAGGAGTGCAGGTTGGAATGGTGGGCAAGGGCCTGATCACTCAAGCTTTGCAGGCCTGTTTTTCCTCCCCAGTGCTAGGGATGAATCCAGGGCTTTGCACATACTAGGCAGGTGCTCTGCCACTGAGCTACACCCCCAGCTCTTTTTACATTTTATTTTGAGACAGGAGCTTGGTAAATTTCCCAGGCTAGCCTCATACCTGCAGTCCCCCTGCCTCAGCCTCCGGAGCAGCTGCAATCAGAGATTTCCAGTGCTGTGCCTGGCTAGACAGGCCTTGGGTTTGATCCCAGGTGTGCCGAGAGCCCACAAGGCCAGCTAACTAGAAGACCTGCTATCCTGGTTTGTCAGAGATGTAGTCTCCTCCCAAATGAGATGGCCCATATCTAAGGGCCCTGGAAACCTCATGGATTCTCTCTCCTAAGCCACACATGAGGTGTAACTCTCCAAAATTAGATATGGCCACTGCTTTGGAAAATCTCTTTAATCAACCTGTCATCAGTCCCCCAGGGTTTGTTAAGGATCTACCCTTTGCCCTATCCTGAGTAGCACTGAGAGAAATAGGATCCTGTGATTAGGAACGGTTGGGAGGGTTGGGAGTCCGTCCCTGGGCTTTGTAATCTCTTCATATCTTAATTTCTTCACCTAAAAAATGGACCTATCCTAATCTGTCATAAAAACTCTCACAGGATAAACAAACACGATAAATGACAATCGCTATCATTTCTATTATCTATTATCTATGATTAGTTCATTTAACAAATGCATATCACATGATTATTATCAAACCTGCACAGGGCTACCCTGGGGGCTGTAGAAATGGCACAGAACGGGGCAGGCCCATGAATTCACCGGGAATCTCACAGAACACTGCACGCAAGACAACACAGAGGGTTAGGCAGGGGCAGACATGACCCTAAGGAAGCATAAGGGGGGAACTGTCAGACTTAGGATCTCAGAGTGGCTTCTTGGAGTAAGCAGCCTGACTTGGCCGCGTGAGCCCATCTACTAGAAGTTGAAAGAACAAAGTCCTCATAAATGCCAGGAGGCCCCACACTTGTTCATCCAGGAGACAGAGCTGAAGCTTGTATCTTGTTTTGTTTTTGGTACCAGGGATCAAACTCGCAACCTCGCGTTTGCCAGGCAGGCGCTTATGCCACTGAGCTAAATCCCCAGCCCTGAATCTTGCATCTTATCCTAAATATTGAGAAGCGTTCTCTGCTGTTGACCTGGCCTTGCAGCCAAGTACTATAGGTGACTGCCTGCTGCAAGCCAAGCAAATTATCTAATTTTGGAGAGTTACACCCATGTGTGGCTTAGGAGAGAGATTCCAGCCAGCAGTAGACAGTGCAATCAACTTAGGGGTCAGGGCTTACCTTTTACAAAATGGAAGGAAAGCA